CGAACCCAGCTTAAAATAAACTCTATTTAATTTTTTGTATTAAATAGGGAAACTTGTCGGCAAATAAAACGGTTTCGCAGACCCAAACGGATGTCATATCTTTCTTAGTTTATTTGATCGAGCCTCACCCTCAAGTCTTGTGTTTATCCCTTGGGGTAGATACAGGATTTGAGGTTGAGTGCTCTTTCATTTAAACTATGGAAAATATGAGGTCAGTTTGATTTCATATTTTTCTAAAATTATATATATATACGTAAATTAAAAAGTCCTTCCGAAGCGGGCGACTGGATTTCGATTCCGGCGACCGACAGCTTCTTACGGGCGACCCCCAAAAACTTTTAAAAAAAACTCTCTTTTCCCCCTTTTAAGCGCCGACAAGTTGGTTTATTGATTTCAAGACTGGTTTTTCTGGTACAACATATAGAGGCTGCATTCTCTTGCAGTGTATTGTGCAGCTTAGAGTTGCAATGCATGCAGCAGTAGCTAAGCTATGATTCTGTAGTGGAGCATCCTAGTGCCGTAGTATGCTTTGATTGTTTTTTTATTGTTTTGAGGGGCATTTACATACATATCACTTAATTCCTATTTATTTACGTATGTAACACCTAACATGTACTTATATTATAGCACCCAAATCTTTCACAACACATCAATTGTACCGCCATTTTAACTTTAAAAAATTGAAATACACCTTTTCATGCATAGGTAAGATGATATGAATGTAAAAATTGAAGTTTAGTTGTTAGATATCTTTGTTGTTTTTTTCTTTATCATCATTTCTAACCACTCCAACGGTATTTGTCTTAGGTGTGCAATTCGCCAAAGCTCTTTTTGTGCCTAGCATGTCAACATATCACAAGATTGACTCTGGTGCATCGGCAATTTCATCTGATATTTCTCAGGATGTTTCATGGCAGACTAATCTTCAAAGAGTTTGGGAAAAACTAATCCATGGAAAAAAAGGTATTTATAGTTCTAACATCTTGTATTATTTAACTTAGTTGTATTGAAAAATTAGCAAGGGTGGCTATGGTATCACCCTTAAGTGACATTTTATAAATTGGCTCGATTATAATGAAAAGTAAGAATCGACAAGGTCTAAAGAATTAAATTTAATATTAGATTTGTTATATGAAGTATAGGAACTTTGAATGGGAAGATAAGAGGTTTGATGAATACTATTGTAATAAGAAGATTAAATATTGCTTGTTTATAAGAAAATAAATAGAAAGAAAAATATCAAGGATTTTGGAGAATATTATAATTTTGCTAAATGTTGTTAAGGAATAATAAAATGTGGTTGGGCACTTGATCTTGTAGTAGATATATACTCGAAGGATACAATTGGTGTGGTTAATAGGGTTAGCGATATGGGGATTGCTATAAAAAAATCAATAAGTGAAGAAATTATAAATATGATCAAGACTTATATTTTTCAAGTTAAATTGGAAAATAGTTTATTATTATTATTATTATCATTATTTTTTTTTTTATATTGAAAAAATGTGATGAATTACTGCAATGTTGTCTGATGAAGAAATTTTAGTTATTTGAAAGGAGTTAAAATTGTAAATTGGCTCTTATAGGGTGGGTTATCTGAGGATTCATTGTGTTTGTGGAATGAGGGATATAAATACAATGATAGAACCTATATTTGGTTTCGTGGTAACTTATCATCTTGTAATAGCGAACACTTTAAAAAACCAAAATAATGCTTGATTACTTGACAAATTTGGTTGGAGTCCCTAAATCAGAAATGGATCTCTTCTTACTTCAGAGGGAGAAATTTTTTTTAAAGATTGTATGCTAATTTATAGGGAAATTTTTATCACACAACATATGCTCGTAGTTATGGATATATTTGAAGAATTAAACAAAATCAAAAGCAATTATGATCTTAAAATAAGATAGTAGAATTTAAAAGGTATGAAAATATTAATATTTCAAGATAGGTTATTAAGAGGAGTAAATTGAAATTTTTTAGTTGAACATAACCTAATATAAAATAAAATGGTTGGTTTTATTAAGTGTATTGTTCCAGAAGTTTTAGGAGAGTATAGCATTTTTAAAATTGGTGGAGCGAGGATATAAAGGGTTATGAAGAAAAATAAATGTATTTTTAGGTTTACAATGATTATAAGAGAGAAAAGTTTTATAATGAGGGCAGAGAGTAAGACAAAAGCTGTATCTTTGATGATTTATTTAATTGGCCATGCTGCTAAAGAAAGAGAAAGAGTTGAATAGCTAAGTTTATATATTAGAGATTTAGGTATGTTAATCAAATTAGATGCATTAAAAGAAAATAAAATAGGATCTTAATTTAAGCTAAAGACACGGAGGAAAGTAAAAAAAATATTACTTTGAGAAATTACTAAATGGAAGGTTCAAGAAAAAAAATATTTTAGCATGATGAATAATATAGTAAAATATATATATATATTGATCCATAAAAGTAAAGTGATGTTAGCTTTGGAAAAGATGTATGTATGTTTGGCTTCGATCCAAATGAGATACATATCGAGATTATTGAGAGTTATGATGGTTATTGTTGTGATTTGATTAAGAAATTTTTTTAGTATAATTTTAAAGGTTTAGAGGATGAGAGATGATTTGAGAAGAAATTTTGGTACCAATATTTAGGAATTAAGATGATGTTGAGATTGTTCTAAATATAGAGAAATCAAACTTACAAAGTACAAACCTGATGATTTAAAGGTGAATACGAGAACTCAGAACTTCTAAACTTGAACTTTGGTGGTAAATAGGGTTGTAAATGAACCAATGCACTCCATGAATAACTTGAACTCAACTCGATCAACGCTCGATTATGCTCATTCAAATTAGTAAATAAACAAGCTTGAACAATTTGCAAAAGCTTGGAGCTTGAACGAAGTCGAACTTGTTTGTTTATATTCATGAACATACTCGTTTGTCGTTCAACAAGTAACTTGTTAAATACTCATTATTAAGCTCGATAATAACTTGTATTATATATGACATATTATTTAAATAAAATTTAATTAGTTAGAATTTATTTAATTATAGATTTATTAGTAATATAGTACCATATCAATAATATTTTTTAGTTTAATTATTAATTATATATTTATTTTATTAATGAGTGAATGGTAGTTTAGAATAAGATATTTACATTTAAAGATAAAGTTTTAAAAGATCTTTCTTGTAGAGTATTCTTAATCTTGAATTTAATGAATTCATTTTTTATAATAATCACACTGCAATTACAAGTCATTAATGTAGATTGTCGTATTGTTATTATTTTTTTATTAATATGATTAAGGAAATGATCATCCCTATAACTTTTAGGATCAATTTAGTTCTTCCACTTACAAAATTTGAATTAGTGTAGTCCGATCAATAAGAATTATGTAACTAATTAGTAAAGTTCAAAGATTTTAGAGTTCATAATCGACAAATTAGTAGTTGTGATTAAAATTTCAAAATTTTTTGTATGAAAATCTAGATTTTAATTTGAATGCTCGTTTAAATACTTGTTCACTTGTTGTAAAGAAATCAATTACAAATCAAGTTCAAACATTGAAAAAGTTAAACAAATCAAGCTTGAACAATGTATGAAAGCTTGACACAAGCTCAAGCAGAACATGAACAACTTATAATTATACCAAGCCAAGTCGGAACAATGATATACTCAGCTCGGCTTAGGCTCGATTATAGCCCTTGTGATAAATAATGAAAATAACCAACCAATAAAGAAATTTGCTATCTTTTGTTTTTTAAGAAAACTACAAAGAAGCTAAAAATGTGAGCCTGATACATGATTGCCTAATGTACGTACGCAGTTTTAAATGAGGGTCACTATCAAATTCTTTCTTGTTAAACAGACAATACGAAGTGAAACAATTACTTATATATTCCAAATCTAATAGAAATCTAAGATTTGTTGGACAAAAAAAATGGCTGGGATACTAGACTATTTTATCACTGCAGAACAAAAATGTTGGCGCTTTTGCATACTTTCTATACAGTAATGAATCCTTATTTTTCTGTTGGGGCATTTACCTACTAGCCACCTTATTTTTATGTATTTAAATATCTAACACCTAAACTTTAGTTTTTACATTTTTACCACCCAAATCTTTTAGATCACATAAAAAAGACAACTATTTTAACTATTAAAAAGTGAAATACACCTTTTCATGCATAGATAAGGTGCTATGTATGTTAAAATTGAAGTTTAGGTGTTAGATATGTGAATACAATAGAATTGAGTTGTATGTATGTAAATCTTCCTTTTCTCTTTCGCATTTTGTTTATGCTTTGCAATGCATATTGGCACAATTGACGGTATTCTTGTTTTGTCAGATGCTACTATCGACAACTGTTTAAACTCGGAGAAATTGACGAGTCTGTCTTCTGCGGGATTATTTTCTGAAGATTCTTTGCAGAGGCGTGATCAAGCAGAAAATAAGTTCCCTAACAGTGCAGTCATTCCATCATTGCCTTTGACAGTAAAGTTGTTGAGGGATTGTGTGAGAGAAAACCCCACTCTTCGACTTCAGGTAAGATTGCATAAACATGAGTAGATTTTGTTGTTTTTGGTTTCATGGAGGATTTGATTTGCATGGTCAAACTGCAATTTTAGAGGTCCTTTCTATTGTTTAAATTGGCATTTACATACATAGCACACAATTCTTATGTAATTATATATCTAACACCCAAACATTCATATTTACTTGGATACCACTCAAATATTTAACATCACATCAAACCGATTAATTTTGAGCCTGTTTGGCTTGATTCAAACTATCTTTGAGCCAGCTTGAAATCGTGAACTTCTTTTAAATATTTTTAGAATAAATAGTTAATTTGCAGTGTATGAACATATATGGTACCCACATACATATGTACTCATTTAGGCATGCTTTAAATTTAAAAAATATGCATACTATTTATATTTCGAGTTGTTCTTAGATCAGCCCGATTCGATCCATGCCCAGCTCGGAATCAACTTGAAGATCAGTCTAGGTAAAAAAATTCAACCCATGGCTCGGCTCATTTAGCTTGATTCACACTCTATTCGAGCCAAAAATCAATTCTAAATTTGAGTTATCTTTGATCCAATAGCTAAAATCTCAGCCTAAGTAGAACCATCATTTATTCTGTGTGCATTTACATTCATACAACCCAATTCCGATATATTTGCATATTTAACACCTAAAGATTACATTTTACTTTTATGCAAACAAAATCTTTAATATCACAGCAGTAATACTTACTATTTTAAAAATGAGATACACCTTTTCATGCTTAGGAATTTTTATAAAATTGAAGTTTGTGTTAAATATGTAAATACATAATAATTAAGAGGTATGTATGTAAATCTAAATTTTACATTTTTAACCTGTGTTGTAAACTCAGGTTCTGGTGACTGGATCCTTGCATTTAGTTGGCGATGTCTTGAGGCTCCTGAAGAGATGATTGGAATGAGAGTCCCAAAGCTATCCCTTATGAACTCTCGTGTAAGTTTCTCACTCGCCAAAATTCTCTGTATCACGAATTCTGTAATTTGTACATCATGGAAGGTTTATTCGTAATTAATTACTTGTTTCATTAAATCAAATGATTTATTCATCTTATTTTTTTAATAATGTATAACTCATTTATTTAGAGGGATCAGAGGATGCCCAAACTGCTACTCAATATGTCCTTATTGTTGTTGTATTAAGCGGATCCGTCGCTGAAAATGAAATTTTGCTTTCTGTTTGAAGGGTTTGACTTCCTCTATGATTTCCGATACAATTTTTAGGGGATTTACATACATACCATCCAATTCTTATTAAATTTCATATATAATACCCAAAACTTTAATATTATGCACATACCAACCAATTCTTCCCCATTGTCGCATCTAGCACTGTTACAATGTCATATGGATGGGAGTTTTAGAGATTTTTGTACGCTGTGTTCTCGTTGCTGCGGTCAACTCGGGGAGGAAGATGGGAGTTTTAGAGGTCTTTTTTATGCAGTGATCCGGTCAAACGAACGAGCGACACGGCGGAACGAGGAATATTGGAGTTTTTGGAGGAATTTGTATGCCGCATTTCTATTGTTGTGGTCGACTGGAGGAACAACAAGATGGAAGGAGGAAGATGGGGGTGGTTGAAGAGGTTTTCAAATTGGTCAAATTGATTGCGAGCAAATCCGAAATTCAAAAGATATAACCAATCAAACTTTTAATAAACTTGAAATAAATGATTTGGTTATGTTCAAATTGAACATTATCAAACTAAAATTTAGTTAGTTGGAGGGTAATTATGAACAGGTGTCAAGAGTTACATAGTATAATATAAATTTAATAGTATAATATAAATTTAATTTCATGAATCCTCAGTATAATTTTAATTTTAAAGCATTATTTCTATGTATATTGTGAAGGTAATCAGTTTTTAAAGGTGAGTGCCAACTTGTCCACATTATATAAATCTGAGTAGAATTTAGAATTTGGTGTTTATGTCCGTCGTCTGGTAATAGTGGTATTTTTAATTTGATGTGATGCCAGATTTGGGTGGTATCTATGTAAATATGAAATTTTAGGGGTTAGATATGTAAACATCTAAGAATTGTGTGACATATATCGAAATGCCCCCTAATATTTAATTCAATTATATCACTCATATGACATCAAATGAGTGGATTGATGGTCCAAATACATGCATGATAAAGATCATATATATATATACAGAGAAAACCATAGCTGTAATCAAAGCATTTACATAACAATTATTTCAAATGCAGTGTACATATAGCTAACAATTATAAGTCGCTCTTAAATGTCCAACCATAAAACCAATAAAATCAATCCAGAATTATATTGAAAGATGACTTTAATGTTTACAGGTCACCCAAAACTTGCTAATCCTAAAATTCTCACTCAAGTATCAAAATTCATGGTAAAAATTCAAACCCATATTATTCATTTTAATCAATTTCTCAATAGTTTAATCGTCGCACTCAGAAATATATCGATTCCGTAGTTTAAAAAAAAATCACCTTATAAAAATCAATGTTTCGGGCGGTCTGAATGTAATTATCCCTTAATTTAAACTAATTATTTACTTTGCTATAGCAAAAAAACCACCACAAAATTGCAATTATTTTTAAAACAAAAAAAATCTTTCTTAAAAAAAAAAAGACATGTTCAGAGAGTATTATTTGGAAGGCCATTGCAACATAATTATAGCTCAAATATATGATGAAAACACCTAAACTGGATCCCCAAAAAATGAAGAGAAGCTGTAGAAGCCCTCATAATAATTAAAGACTTAATTTTGTGGTGATGTTAGTTGCCTCAAGTTGTATTTGGCAAGTTCTTTATACTTCTCAACCACTCCAATCATGCAGATTGTCTGCAATGAAAAGAAAGGAAATATTTTTTATCATATTAAAAATTAAAAATGAAACAATTTAATATCTTAAAAACTATAATGCACTCCAAGACTTGCTCATTGGCAAAGCCCTTCCTTTTCAAATGCGGAGGGAAGCTATGATGTATTAAAAATGTTACCTTGGCAATTTGAACTATAATGGTTTTATCTGGCTTGTTAAGATCCACAGTATGCGGCGAAGGAACAGATTTCGCCACAGCATTTATGATGCTCATCCTCTCAATGCCCGTATTTGAACGTGCTTCGTACAATACTGCAAACTGTAGATAATAATGACACAGAATAAGTACATTCAACCAAAATGCTTAATTTTTTTGCAAGATATTCCTGATATACAAATATTTGCACTTAATAGTTGCAAAATTATACACAAAGTAAGAACAGAAATCTTTTCAAAATAGTATTTGATACATAAGATCTCTCTTTAAATTTCATTGTTATGGGATTGAACAAAATCACTGTTCAGTAAGTTGAAAGAATTACAAAATCTTGAAAACAGTCATTTCGAAGCGAAGATCTAAAAAACAAAGAATGTCAAAATAATCCTTCTATGTAAAAAAGAACTGAAACACAAGAGAAGAACACAACAAGCAAGCTTTACCTTCAGGGGAGAAGAAGTATCAAGAGGGAAGTATTGCTCAATTAATGGTTTTATTGACTTTGAAATTTCCTCTTCCGATGCATAGCATGTTACTTCGGCTGGCAGAACTCTCAGAATAAATCTACATAAAATATTCAGAAGATTTACAAACATACCACTTAATTCCTATGTATTTACGTATCTAATACCTAAACTCCAATTTTTACATATAATTTTTGATGTGATATGAAAGATTTGGAGGGTATAAATGTTAAAAGTAAAGTTTAGGTGTAGATATGTGAATGCATAAGATTTGGGTGGTATGTATGCAAATGGGCAAAAACATTTCCAAGTTTAATTCAGTATTCCGAATGACACACGAGATGATGCACAATTAAGGAATTAGGTACCTAGACATGTGTTTTTTTGTAACTGCAGCTGAACTTATCATTTTATGTGCGATGGCAACTGGACCGGGATCTCCAGGCCTTCTATGCATTTGAACGAAGATGCAGCCATTACAACCAGAATCAAGGCTGACAAAATGTCTCTTTTTCAACAGCAGGAAACGTGTTGAAATCAGTGAGCATTGATTTTCAACAATAATGAAAAAGATATGTTTTAACAATTTAAATAAGGCATTTAAAATTCTTGCAGATTAATTGGGAATCTTACAAGTAACAGATCATGGCAACAAATAAGAGAATTTAGAAAACATTAGAAAAAAATGAGATGGTAGTTAAGCTAATGCTGCAACATAGATTGTGATTAAATAAGTGATTGTCCAACCAAAAACTTCGTTATGGATAATAAACACAAGGGAAATTAACTTAACTAGTACACATTTCTTATATATTTGCATTTCTCACACCTAAACTTTCATATTTATTACATAGCACTAGGTGCTTCAAACCTATGCATGAAAATGTCTATATCACTTTAAAAAGGTGGTCATAAAGCTATTTTTTGATGTGATAATAAAGATTTGAGTTCTCTGCATGTAAAATGAAGTTTAGGTGTGAGATACGCAAATACATGAGAATTGTGTGCTATGCATGTAAAATGTAAGATAAAGTTAAGCATCAAAAGGAAATATAAAACAGCTTGCTCCTACTGAAACAATTTGGCAAATGCTTGATAAACCTCTGTTTTAATCTGGCACATCTGACAATCAAGGTGCAGTTTTGTAGAAAGGGTTCACTTCCCCAAACAAATTCTACGTGAATGCTTAATAAACCTCCATTTTGCTACGAACAAATAGTTTTCACATGAAAAATCAAAAACTAATTTGGCCGAGCAAGCGATCGACAGTAAATTATATTAGCAAGTCTAGTGGAGGAGCCAGGATTTTCTTAGGGGGTACAAATTGAAAATTTTAAAAATAACATCAATATTTTATAAATTAATATTTATAACTACAAACTCTTTGAGAGAGCACAATTGAGTATTTTCTTGTGAATATCATATGCATGCAAGCAAAAATATAAGATACAAAAGTAGAATTTTAAATTTTGGGATGGGGCACATGCCCCAGTTTTAAATACCCCCTTGCTAGCAACATGCAAGCTTATTTGAATAAATTATTCCTGCAAAAGGTTTCATGACTTCTAAAAACTGCAATTCTGAAGAAGTAGTCATAATTTAAGGCTTCTACCAGTCAAAGATGTTCGAGTTCATTTTAGGGCACAGTGAATCTTTCATTTTTTTAGGGGGCATTTACATACATAGCACACAATTCTTATTTATTTACATATCTCACCTAAACTTACATATTTACACACATAGCACCTGAATTTTCTAATATCACATAAAAAATAGCACTATTGTCATTTTTCAAAAGTGAAATACACCTTTTCATGCATAGGTTTAAAGAACCAAAGTGATATGTATGTAAATATGAAAGTTTACATGTGAGATATGAAAATACATAAGAATTGTGTGCTACGTATGTAAATTTCGCTTTTTTCTTCAACTTCCAGAGTGTTTGATTGTCATAGCATTTTCCATTAAAAATAATGAAAGAGAGATGATAACAATAACCTTGTGCATGTTTCTTCAGTCAATAGTCAGCTACTATAAAAAATCATCTTTACATATTTTCCAGATATAAAACTAAATCTCAGAATTATTGAAATGCTTGTTTATCATGGCAATCAAAAGTGGTACTCATCTTGACTCAAATTGAATTCATTAAAACCATTTCTGTAACACTTATGGCAAAATAACAATGGTGATAGAACAACTCATTTGGCACCTAAAGATTTTGTGGCGTAGGCATAATAATATGAAAAATAAAGCCATGTCAGGCTGTTAATAAAACAGAGAAAAAAAAACTTCAGAATTTAGGAAGGTACTCGGAATACATGAACCTCTATCAAATTGACAATGCACCAACTCATAAGATAAATTATTGAAAAATGAAACTGAAATCGTGATTTAATAATAATATGAAGGGAACATTCCCTAAACACCACAAAATTCTTATGTATTTACATATCTAATACCTAAATTTTCATAATTACATTTGCAACGCTTTGTTGACATAAACATATTCATGAAAATGTGCATTTCACTTTTAAAAAGATAATGTTGGCAGTAATTTCAATATTATGTTAAAGATTTGAGTGGTATGTATGTAAATATGAATGTCTAGGTGTTAGATATGCAACTACCTAAGAATTATTTGGTATGTATGTAAATGCTCCTAATACGAATTGCCACATGCTTGGACAAGAAAGAAGACGAGAAAGAAATAAAGCATGACTAAAAAAATTCCAAATCGCACTTCATATAGCTTACCTTGCTCCTGTCGCCTAACTCTCTAAGCTCATCTTCAATTAGTTCATCAATGGGCTTATTCTTCGTAACAACCAAGTCGACATTTTCACATGTCGGTGGATCATTTTCAAGGCGTTGCCTCTTCGCAGGTATTGAATCATTCTTTTGTGCTTGTTTCTCATCTTGATTATCCTCCCTTTGAGGAGAGTCGTCCTCCAACTTTCCGTTCTTATTTTCAATGGGTCTCTTACTCTCTTCTTCGTGATCTTGGACTTCGTCTTTTGCAAGAGATTCATCTTCATCACTAGAAGAATCAGAATCTTCAAATTTAATTATCTTGTTTAATGGTTTATTGGGAATTGTTTTGCTCTTAGAACCAGAATCCGACCCATGAACTAGCTCCTCGTAAAACTGCGTGGAATATCAAATCATTAATAAAAGTAAAAGCATATACATGTAAATCTTACTACGAGCGAATAAATCCAGCACAACTGCTTCTCCATTACTAAATGTTTCATACTTGCAAACTAACATATTATTTGCTGAAGATAATAAGAAAAATTTATATGGTGAAAAAGAATGATGGGGTTGTAGAGGGATATGGGAAAAAACTTTCAATAAATGTGATTTCATAAATGTAACTCCAACTTAACAAAAAAACAGATGTGCCTATCTTCTTAAACTTTCTTTTCTATTAAAATATTTACAAAACCATACATACCGCTCACATCTTATTTATTTACATACTTAACACCTAAACATTATGTTTTACATTTATGTCACCCAAATCGTTCATATCACATCAAAAATATCACTATTTTAACTTTTAAAAAGTGAAATTCACAATTTTAATGCATAAGTATGGTGGCATATATGTGAAAATTGAAGTTCAGGTGTTAGATACGTAAATACAAATAATTGATTACAATCTATGTAAATCTTCCTTAAGAAATTTACAGAACCATAACTGACACAATCAAAGTTGTTTAGATTTTTAAAAAAATGGGCCATGGATAGCTACGTAAATATCAAAAGAAGAATATGACGGAGTGAGAGAGAAGAAAGAAGAGAGCAACACAACAAATCAAATTGCAGGGGGAAGCAACAAGAAAAGATATTCTATGAAAAGCAACCGTGATCATTTCTTTTACCATAAGATGGGATTATTCATAAAGACCTAGCTAAGACAACTAGTGCTTTGTTTGGTTGAGCTTTTTCATTCTTAAAATTTTTTAAAAAAGCTATTTTAAGGAAGAAAGCTTTTTAAAGTTAAATAATCAAAACGCACCGAAAAAGTATGAAAATGGAGTTTTTAAGTAGTTCTTCTAAAAAAGCATAACAACAAAAAAAATTATTAAATAAATAAATGATCTTCTGATGAAACATAGCAGTTGGGTAGTTTAACCAAATGAGGCCGAAGACTGTATAAATAAGAAAGTCACAGAATTCACAAATGATTCTAAACTTAAAATTAGATTTTAGACATTTGCACGCATGCAGACACCGGATATGCGCGTAGATTAAATAATCGAAACCACTATGGATTACATGGAAGTTGAGAGGTACAAAAAGGTTGAAAAAATATAGATCCTCAATATTTATCTACTTATTGGCTAATTTCTCATACATGCATCTAAAATCTTCTATGTTGCATTGACATAAATATGCACAACAACGGCATAACAACAATATCAAAATATTGGACAAAGGCATGGGTTGGATGTGTGAGTAGATTCTTCACATCAAGAATTGATTGCTAAATTAAAAATTGATTAAGATGAGAAATAAAATCACAGATGTCATAATGTAAGCAAATCCTCTTATGAGAATTTTAACAACATTTAAACCGTAAGTCCAAAATTTATCTAAAAAATGAAAAGAGAATGCCAGTGAGTGGTAGCATTATTTGAGATGGTATATTTTTCCTTCAAGATTTTGGACAAAAAATCACATTTTCAAATATTACCCAAAATGCCAAACTTAACATCCATTTAATTATTCATGTCACTGGCATATTATTGTTGTGTTTGGAGAGATGACATACTTTTTTTTATATTTGGCATGTCTTCTATGATCAAAACATGTAAAACGCATGCATGTGTTTGACACTTGTAGGGAGAATGTTACACCGAAGTTTAGCCTTTTAATATTATTGTTGTCGTTAGTATAAATAGGGTTAATAAGTTTAGGGTTGGGGGCATGCATGATATTGGGTCTTGTATCTTGTGGTTAGGGTTTAGAAGAGATTTCACTGTTCACATCGTACCTTGAGACTTAGTCGCAATTTGACCTAGCTGAGAGCCAATGACTGGATCGACACTTATAGACCTGACCAACCATGTGATGCATCACACGATCGAAGCTTGTGAGGAAGAACGACAAGATAGCAACATATACAAGCCACCTTCGTGACCGGAAGCAACGATCGGCGTGCCTTAGTCAGGCGAGGAAATGTTCCCAGCCATAGAGAAAAGGTTTTCCTCCCTTAAAACCCGATTCAAGAGATTAGAAGGCTTATTGAGATGCAATCCAAGACCCCATCGGCGGCTTAATTTGTAAACCAAAACCAATGATTGACCAAAGAATCCGTGGATAAATTGATAGGAAAATAGATTGGACGAGAGGAACATGAGGAGAAAATCATCAAACATCAAGAACCTCTACTATGTCTCCAATGGGGGGTGGATTTGAAATTTTCAAGGGACGGTGTTGGGCCAAAACATGGAGAAGAGGTTGTGCAAGGAAAATGAAAGAGTAAAAAGGAGATAAGTCGGGATTGGATATGACTATGATTGATGGAGGAAGTTTTATCATATATACATGATGAAAAAAACCGGATGGAGAGAAAGTTAAGGCGAAGATGCTAGGGTTAGAAAGTTAAAAATGTCGATCTTCAACAGAAAATACACACATGGGGTGTATCGAGTGAAGCGATATTTCACTATATGACTAGATAATTGTAGCCCCCAAAGAGAAGAAAAAGAAAGCCCTAGCATGGTTAAAAGGCCTCACTTAAATGATGGTTGACTTTGATTAGTTAGGTTGCCTACTTATATTCTATATTTTCATTTTTAATGGGTATAATTATGAATTTTGGAAGATCAAGGAGCAAACATACTAAGAGCTTAGGGGTTGTGGTTATATGTTATGGTAGGTTATTAATAGCAAGCATACGAGAGCCAACACTCTAGAAACAAGTGGTAAGCTCGAGGCCAATTTTATGAAGTATGCAATAATATTATGAATAGTTCAACAAGTAATTGCAAAAAACATATTTTCCCTAATTATGAAAGAAAGAAAGGCCACAAAGGCACGGAAAAATTTACAAAAAAATATTTAGAAGTGATGGCAAGTTAAGAGTAATTAACTTCAATCTCTCCATACAAAAGAAGGAAATTTTAAAATGAAAGGAGGAACTATGATAGAATATTTCAAAAGTAGCAAAGGTGATGAATCAAATAAAGACTTGTGGAGAAAAAACTAGCAATGTAGGGAAGATTTAATTAACACGCCTGAAATATATGACTAGATAATTGTAGCCCCCAAAGAGAAGAAAAAGAAAGCCCTAGCATGGTTAAAAGGCCTCACTTAAATGATGGTTGACTTTGATTAGTTAGGTTGCCTACTTATATTCTATATTTTCATTTTTAATGGGAATAATTATGAATTTTCAAAGATCAAGGAGCAAACATACTAAGAGCTTAGGGGTTGTGGTTATATGTTATGGTAGGTTATCAATAGCAAGCATATGAGAGCCAACACTCTAGAAACAAGCGGTAAGCTCGAGGCCAATTTTATGAAGTATGCAATAATATTATGAATAGTTCAACAAGTAGATGCAAAAAATATATTTTCCCTAATTATGAAAGAAAGAAAGGCCAAAAAGGCACGGAAAATTTTACAATAAAATATTTAGAAGTGATGGTCAGTTAAGAGTAACAAACTTCAATCTCTCCATACAAAAGAAGAAAATTTAGAAATGAAAGGAGGAACTGATAGAATATTTCATAAGAAGCAAAGGTGATGAATCAAATAAAGACTTGTGGAGAAAAAACTAGCATTGTAGGGAAGACTTAATTAACACACCTGAAATATATGACTAGATAGTTGTAGCCACCAAAGAGAAGAAAAGATTTGAAGAAATTATTACCACAAGATTGAGATCTATAGCCTAACTCACGAGCAAAGAAAAAAATACATTTTGAGATCAATTAAAAGTACATACAACTTGTAGAAAAGAAAAAGCATGAAAAAAAATTATTTTTTTGAGAAAATAAGTTAACAGCAAAATAGACCAAAGTATGAGAAAAACATAAATCCTAAGAACTCTAGAGTCCCAAACAAAATTTGTAAAGAGCCAAAGCATAAAAATTTGAGTGCATGTGAAAAATTAAAAAAAAAAACACAATGCTTTCATTACAATAGATTCGAGTGCAGATGAAAAAGGTCTCAATGCTTTCCGTGCAAAAGATTTGGACATTTGAGAAAAAATATCCAAACTAAAGAATAATAATGCATTAGCTATGATCTTTAAAGTAAAAAATCAAAGGATTTCAAAAGTGATAATGGAAAGAAATAGAAATTTTCCTGATGCCCGTACCAGAGATTATGGAATATAGAATTTGATAAGTTTTGCAAGGAGGGCGAAATATGATTATAGAATTTGATTAAAAATTTGCTCAAATGTTGCATCTTGAACCGAACTCCATATACGACGCTTCTTCAGAGTTCAACCATAGTGCCAAAATCAAACATTTTTAAGCAAGAAAAGAACCAAACCAAAACTGACACAGAAACCCACACAGAAACCCAAAAAAAAAAAAAATCTCAACTTTTCTTTGAGAAGGGAAAAATATACGAAGGCTAACAAATTAGGCAAAGCCCCAAGGGTAATTTAAAAATAAAAACTTAGAGGCGGAGGGATGAATACCGATTCGAGGAGATTTAGGGCTTCGTTTGCGGCTTGTCGCTCCCTTCCGCCATCACAAGTGATGAAGAAACCCTGCACCCCTGGCCGAAGAGGATACAACCCCTTCCTAACAACTTTCTGCAGAATTCAAAGTTCCATGAAATGCGAATATTATAATTCGATCGCAAAATAATAATTGCAAAGAAAAAAAAGCGGAGAGAGCATTACGCCGTGGGGCAAAAATTTCCTCTTTTTGCCTTTGCTGCTGTTGTTATTGGAGGCGGGCTTGTTTTCAGCCGCCATTGAGAACCTCTGGGATGCACTTGAGGACGAGCAGCAGTGCAGAGGAGTCGCCCTTTCCTCTAGTTATGATATAAAATTGATAAATAAATATGTTATATTATAATTATCTCAAAATACATTTCATTCTGATAATATTTGACCAATTTGAGTTAGGATAAATTGAGTTAAAATTTGTCCTTAATAACATAATGTAATAGTTTGGTACATTTTGTTTAGGTTTAATTCTATTTATCATTTATTAAAAAAACTTATTTACATTAATGTCCAAATAATCAAGATTAAGTTCTAATTACACAAAACTAATTAGTTGTTTAGATTTAATTATACATATTAACTTTTATTTTATTAATTATTTAAAAATAAAATCTCTTTTTTGAAATATTAAAAATTTATATTAATTTGATGAGGGCCGCGCGTACGCGAATCCCCCCTACCACAAATTATGACGTCCACTCTACCACTTGGGCAGATGGTAGACCAGCGCCCCTTCAGAGTGCAATGAAGGTCGCGGATCTCATTCCTGATCACCCGTATGACCCCGTCCAGGTAAGTATGGAGCAAAGGCTTCGAGTTTCGTCTTAAATATCCAAGCCGCGCCTTTACTTTCATAACTCTAGCGATGTGGGACTAAAATGGTTCCACGCAATTCCACCCTTTACGCGGTAGACCATTAACATAAAAATGCATTATGATTAAATTCGTAATTTATATTTTCATGGATGCGGATGAAAACTATTGCTAGTGCTTATATGGGAGAAAAATAATGCAAAAGAAAAATTAAATTTAACACCATATTTTGATAAATTATAATTACAAAATAAGGCTGTAAGTATTATTATGCATTTTATTTAAAGCTTCAACATTGATTTTGATGTGCCTCCCTAATTTCAATCATTATATGAAATTGAACTTTTTAACAAATGATTTATAGTGAAATGATCAATATCATTTATAACCTCACCATTTAATAATTATTTAATTTATTTAATTATATAGAAAAATGAAGGGTTAGAGCACAAATAACTCTAGTCGTGTTATCTTCATGATTTTAAATCTAGAGGTTCTCAAACTTTCTCTGATTTATCATTTCTTATAAGATTTGTGGGATTATGTTTCTTCTCCTATCAACATCATATAATATCATGTATATAGTATTTTGCTAGGATTATAAATCCTTACACTTATTGGCTAGCAAGTTGTCATAGAAAAAAAAAAGATTAAAACGAAATGCAACAGATAATAAATGCAATAATATATTAAAAACTACATTATAAAGTTTTCTAAAATATCAAGATACCTAAACTTGTATAAATTATGCCAAATTCAAAATAAAAAATAAAAAAAAAATTAAACATAAATAATTTTTTGAACTGGCTCATCTTATCAAAATAGGTCAAAGGCCACTAAAATTGAACTCTCACCCTCACTCTCTCTCATATGACTCTTATAATCGTTTTGGATTGGTTATAGTTTTTTGAAAGGAGGTTGTAAAATTATGGTGTAGAAATCAACTATTTACAAAGTTGCAGTAAAAATTATGAATATATATATATATATATATATATATATTCAAAAAATCAAACAATAATTTTCTTACAACCACCACATTTTCACAAGTTAAGTTCGAAAAAAATTCACCACAAAAATCTCTGAAAGCAGTAAGAAATTAATTTTTCAAACAAAGATGTAGTGACAGTTTGAACCATAAAATCAACATAAAACTGTCTCATCATCTCCTCATTTTTTTCTTCTTTCTCTCAATTTTAAAGAATAAAACGAAGCTCTACTGTAGTATAGATACATAAAGGGTACATATTAAATTATGTAATTATTGCTTGAAATTTAAAACTTCACAAATTGAAAAAAGGAATTCCCTAACTCCAAAAAACTTATTTGCACAAGCATATGCCTATGCCTTAAAATATTTTAGTTGAATAAGCAAGCCATTATTTTTATACCTATAGAATTCATATAAATAGGAAAAAAACCTTTATAAAGTAAAGCTCATAATACTCTATAAAATGATAAAAATAATTTATGGATCATACTTACAATGAATTCAAACAAATATATTTGAAGATTATAAATTAAAAGTCTAGCTTATAAATTTTCAAGGGATTATATTAATTTTTCTTCACCAAATATTTATAAAATTATTCAAAGATCAAAATAAGTCCATTTTAATAAATAAGCCAGAACATCCAATTTATTAAAAATATATTTATACAAATATACTTAAAAAAAACATATTCTTTAGACAATTATGATAAATTTCAAAATTATATAATATATGTCGATATCACACAACTAGTGATTTTTCATTAAGATGTGTCTCCTTGCCTTTCAGCTTCAAATAATTAAGTATGTTGTTCATGTGTTAGAATCACTCTTACTTCTCTTAATATATGGGAGAAAGTTACAATGGGTTAGTACATGTTGCCTTTTCATGACTGTAAGGATTCTTTTTATTTATTTATTATTATTTTATTTTTATTTTAAGTCATGCAACTACAAATGTCCTGCCTAAGAAGTAAATGTATATTAAAATATGTTAAGATATGTGGAAACTTTTTCTTAGAAAAGATATGAAATATTGATACACTTCTAATATGATTATAACAATTAAACTAGAAATGAATGATTTACATAGGAATAAAAAATAAACTAATGGCATGACCATCATATGATAGAATGCATATTTAGCATGCAAGATCCATGCAGTTTAGTTTTGGATGATTTTGGCTCAGAATTTTTCAATAATTATTTGAAACCTAGTTAAGGTTTAGGACATGAGATTTGATCTAATTTGCTTAAGTTGTTAACTTTTTTTTTTATAGAGAGAAAGCTCCTGTCATGTTGATCAAATCAATAAATACAAATTGTTGATAAACTTCTTAGATATAACATAAGAATATAATCTTTAGATCATAGCATGTACTAGACATTATACTCCTTATTAATGCGTGGGGGGGTCATAAATAGATAAAATTAGTCTAAAAACATAAACAATAGGCTTAGGGTACTTCCCACTTATCTAAATTAACAATGTTTCTGTTTCATAAGCATATCTTAACCATCTATCATCATATTTATATTTTTGTTTATATTTTGATATAAAGTATAACAAAAAAATATGTTGTAATAAAAAGCAACAGCTTTTTTCTAAAATTGAGGTTTCAATCACAAATAAGAGGGTAGTGTGAAGATTTATGAGGAGCAAGGCATATTCATGCTTGTGTTGGTATATGAGAATTTAGAAGAGAAATTTTAGTGCCATTGTAAGTTAGATTTTAAGGCAGGTCGATTCGTGGTTGAGTTATAGTCTTAGAGGATAATTTTTATGGAGATATGGAGGTAGGAAACAAGAGGTTAAATTTAACGGTGCATGCATGGACGTATGCATACATTTTGACCACCCTATTTATAAATGTAAGGTCAAATTAATGCGCTCTTATTTAAGCCAAATTTTGAACCCTTTTATATGGACTAATCTATATTTAAGTTTTTATTAAACAAAAAAATGATCAAAATTAATTTTATAAAATAAGTAATAGTTATATGTGCTCACTTTTCCTTCATTACATCCTCATAATAAAATTCATGTATTGCTTCGAGCATGAATAATCAAGAAACTCTGAAAATTTCCCCCAAGGGTAAAACTATCAAGCTATCTCCATGATTTACACTTACCAAAACCGTGACGAGAAGGTGAAAAAATTAAATCTTTGATCGCTAAATCACAGGCAAATGTAATTTATTTTTTATTTTTGCAAATAAAATGATAATTGCCAAACCAAAAATTTTATAAATCTACACAAGTTCTTGGCCTTAAGTTCTTATTTGGATGAATTTGTTTGCCATTTTTAGTTCTATAGAAAGTTAAATCCCAAATGAAACCTAATCTTGCGGTTCATTGCGCAGTTCAGCGTTGTCCAATCAATCAGAGATTCAGAAGTACCAACAGCTGACAATAACTACATATATATATTTATATATTGTATTAATCATATCGTCGTTCTTTAAGGTAGGTGAGCAGTAGATTAATCATGACAATTTTAAGAAAATTTAGGTAAAACCATAACTAATTTATATGAGTTAATACAAAATTAAAAGAGATTTACATAAAAATCACAATTCCTATGTATTTTACATATCCAACACTGAAACTTTAATTTTTCCATTCATACCATCTTACCCAAACCAAAAAAATATGTATTTATTTTCTTTTAAAAGGTAAAATGGTGATACTTACAATGTTATATGAAAGATTTGGGGGGTATAGATGTAAAAAAAACAAAGTTTAGATATGTAAATAGACAGTAGTTGGGTGGACTTTACGTAAATAACCCAAAAATTAATTTAAAACCATCATCTAATGCACCGTTAAACTAGTATAATGATGGTGCTCTAAAGAGGGATTTAAGCATTCATTATACTTCCTCCAAACTAAGTAAAAACAGTAAGAACAAACAAATAAAAAGAAGCAAATAAATTAAAAAACTTGAACTTAAGGGCCTCTAGCAAGCATCCCACCTTAACACTATCACATAAAATTAAACACGTAAAAACAAATAATTTACATAAAGTTGTTACAAAAGTAAAATCTGCAAATTAGATAAAGAAGCCTCCTACCAAACAAATATATATATATATAAAAAATAAAAACAAGCCTTAATTACAAGTAAAATCATGCCATAGTGACCTACTGAACATACCACTCACTACTCAGAAAATCTTCCTCCTATTTCCTGGTATAATAACCGATATCGACAAAAACATTTCTGATATTTTCATTTTTCATGGAAACAAAGCCAAATATCACACTTGCTTGTAGAAGAGAACATAGGCCTGGTCATGGAGTACCTTGTTTATGCCAATGGACGTGACCGAAGAATCGTCGTAGCGGAGCCACCGGCCATTGGAGTATCTACAGTCTGCGGTGTAGTGACCTTTCGAGTGTTCTCGGCCATGGTGAGTGATGGTCGCCACGAGTTCAAATTTCCTACCCTACAATCAATTATGATGTTGCAATTAGCATATAATAGCATTTACAATCAGAACTGAACTGACTAAATCATAAGCAGAACCAAATCAAACTAAGGAAATTGTAATGTTGTTCAATTTATTCGGCTCAGTTTTTGTTTAATCAAAATTTTAAAAAGAACAGTAAAATCTTCAATTTTGATAATGCAAAACCAAGATTAATTATTATGCTACAAGAAGAGAATGAGAAATCAAACATAATTATTAACACACACACACACACACACAGATGATAATAGCCATTTCAGTTTTGGTTTTACCTTAAACTAAACCACACTTTAATAATCTGAACAAAAACAACTAAATATACTTGATTCAGTTTAATTTTTCAATTGAAACAAATTAATCCCTGGCACAAGGGCAAATGGTTTTGTAAGGGCCCAGCATAGCAACCATATACATTTAGGTTTTGTTTGGAATCAATTTTGTCTTTTTTTTAAATTTTATTTTAGTTTTTTCTTTTATTTTTAAAAGGTTGCTTGTTTGGTGTGTATTTTATATACTTTTAACTTTTTTCCTAAGAAAAAAATAAAAACATCCATATCTTAATCAAATATGTCAAACATATTTATTTCAACTGAAAACATAAATAAAACAAAATAAAAATTAAACATAAAAAATAAAATACAAAAATAATCCCAAACAGCCCTTCTACAATTTTTTCTAAGAAAACGAGAGGAAAAAATCCTAATGCTACTGGCAGCAATAAACATAGATACAATATATCTATTCTAAAATGGCATCTGAAGGAGAATAATCGATTATTTAGAATGAAAGCGTCATATAATCTGATAATCTATGCAGCCCTTCAAAGAGACTGGCAATAAAAAAACATCCAACATTGTTAAGCATGGTCTTAATGGTGAATTTTTAACCTTCAGATATGGATAAAAAGAATATCTGGTAAGAACATAAACTGAAAAATCATCATGCATAGACACTACAAACTCCGCTGGGGACAGATTTTGTGTATCTATGTCCGCTGGGGACTAATTTTTTTACCGATCGTGTGTCTATGTCCGACTAATTTTTCTGGTGATTAATTTTTCTACGTATGCACGGAGAGAAAAGTTTTTCTGGTGATTAATTTTTCTACGTATGCACGGAGAGAAAAGTTAATTCCCAGCGGAGTCGGTAGTGTGTCTACCCAATCCTTTACTTCGGCAAAATTTTTTCCAACGACTCCGCTGAGGACTATTTTTCTCTCCACCTTTAATTAGTGGTTTTGCCTTTATACATCAGTAGTGTGTCTATGTCCCTAGTTGACCAGATTGTTATTCTTCCGTTGATATACCTTATTCATTTCTCCCTTGAGCAAGTATAAAACAACAACAACAACAAAATCTTTATTCTACTAAGTGGAGTCGGCTACATGAATCCTTTTTCTCCATTGCTTCCTATTTAGTTCATATTTTCATTTAATTCTAATAAATTAAGATCATTTTTGTCAAGTCTTCCTAGGTTTACCTCTGCATTTCTTAACATAAGTCAAATTTAAAGCATCTACTCTCCTAATTGGATCATGAGATGGTCGACGTTTAATGTGACCAAACCATTTAAGACGACTCTCTCTAATTTTACCGATAGTGTGTCCATATTCGACTAATTTTTCTACGCCTGATCATAAGTTGCCAGAAAAATTAGTCAGGCATAAACTAAAAAAATCATCAGGCATATAGAAGAAAAGGGCATGGGGAATATTGACCATGTCATATTTGCAATTTGAACAATTCTACTATTGTTAGAAATTTTCTTTTTTCAACTTTCTCTTATTTTGATTAAATTTTTCAAAATCCTTGACATAACAATAACCTAAGCATTCCCTGAGCCATTTACATACATACCATGCAATTCGTATGTACTTGCATAATCAAACAACTAAATTTTATTTCTACATTTATACCAGCCAAATCTTTCATATTACGACAAAAAACCACTATTTAACTTTAAAAAGTGAAATAAACCTTTTTATACATATATAAGGTGACTTTCATGTAAAAATTAAATTTTAGGTGTTAGATATGTAAATAAATACATAGGAATTTAGTGGTATGTATGTAAATCTTTCATAAATGTATCCCTGTGACCTATCATAAAACTGATCCTCATTAAGAAAAAACTACTTTGAATTTTAACTTAATTTAATCTTTATTTTTGTTCCAGATCTCCTGCCACCCTCCCTCTGATTTCTCTTACAAACCCCTAATTAATTTTAAACTAAATTTACCCGCTTCCTCTTCATTGCTTGCCAAAAAATGTTCAAATCTTCACAAATAGGACGAAGAGAAAAGTCGAGGAAATAGCAATGAGAAACATCAAGATGATCAAGGCTTTCAGCTATGATTAAAATAATTGTTAGTCTTTTAGTTCTAAAATATCTGATTGACCTTTCATAAGTATGATATAGTTAGTTTTTTAGTTCTAAAATGTTGATGTGAAAAAAACTATTCTAATCTAATCAAGTCAAAATATTGAATTTTAAAATTAAAAATATCTATTTAATAAAAATATTTTAATTTGAAATATTCCACAATTGCAAGTAATTCAGTTTTTTTTTTCAAAATAAATATTTTCTTTTTTCTCAACTAAAACGTAGACATATGGACTGGCAGGACTGCATTATGTAAAAAGAGCTCACCTCTGTAGATGGAGTAACAAGCAAATCACGTCCCATAACCAGTTCCAAAGGGAAATGAATTGGTTTGTTCAACTTGGAGCTACCCCTTGTCCCATAGCTAAAGCGCATCAAGTGCAATATCATTATCTTTGATAAAGTCTGTATTTTTACAGACTTGCTAGCATTGACCAGCCCAGCCTGCAAAATAAAAGACATTCAATCAGCACAACCAAAACAGAAATGGATCGTTAAAAACAGTAAGATCAATTTACACAAACCACCCTTCAAGCAACAGAAATATTACTATGAAAATTATAGCATGCATGCCGAGAAAAATTTTATTTCAACTTTATAAAAAAAATACAGAGCTAGAGGATTTCAACACAAGAATATGAGACTCGAGCATTCCCAACTCAAATGAAGGACTTGCTGTTAGATACTAGTCAGATAATTTACATAGACATACCTTGCCAGATGAGGCTCTATATCCTTCTAGGGTTGCTGGAGCAGAAAAAAAGCGAAGTGCATCTTCAATTGTATGAATAGCTTCAGGTAAGATATCGAGATGAAGCAGAAGAAAGGGCTGAACTGTAGCTGAAGCTTTGTTGCCTATACCATAGGAGAAATTAAATTCATTAGAAACACAAAGGACGTGCAAATTAGATTAATAGAGAGCAAAACACGGCATACCAAAAATTCTATAAAGTTTGAGTAAGAATTCTAACTCCAAGCTTAGAAAAAATTTGCCAATGCAACCTCAAATCACAAAATATATTCTGAAGGTAAAAGCTTCAAGCTCAGAAAAGATTTTTCAATGCAACTTCAAAACACAATAAATTCTGAAGGTGCAAATCAGCAATGAATTAAGCATTAAACTGATCAAAAGAAGGATTGAAATTAAAAAAAAGGACCAATTAAGTTAGGGGCATTTACATACAAACCGCCTAATTCTTATGTATTTACATATCTAATAGCACTTCTTTTTAACTTTAAAAATAAAATACACCTTTTCATGCATAGTAAAGGTGGTATATACGTAAAAATTGAAGTTTAGGTATTAGAAATGTAAACACATAGGAGTTAAGTGGTATCTCTGTAAATCTTCAGTTAAGTTATTAGGCACATTGACATGGTTATTCATAAATAAACAACATCAAGACGAAAAGTCAATTCATAGAAGCAGATTGCATAACAATTTGGTTGTTATAATCATTAACAAAATTGAATTTACACAACACATTTTCTATGAGATCTACTAAAGATATACGCAAAAAACAAACTGCTTTTGAATTCTAAATTATATTATTTACCTCTTGCCTTGACAACACTCCTTAACTGTCCCCCAAAGATAGCACTCAATTCAGAAGGAATAAGGCTCTGTGTTCGAGTAATTGCAGATTTATTTTTTGGACCGATAGTTTCCCAGCCATCATCATCAGAAGCAGCAGTCAGAGACAAATTCTTCCCATTTGAACCAGATAAATTACCTCCAAGTCTCAATAACTCGTCATGCATTTGATCCATCACAAAACCTAAAAACTCCTGAGCATCCTCTTGCCTGGATAAAGAAATTATCAGTTAGTCTCATTTACATTAGAAAAATTAGTAAAATACCACCGTTGCTGATAGATGGCAATTATAGAAGTCAACAAGAAACAAATACTAGTTGTGATAAATTCATCTCAACCTACATACCATCTTCCACAATGTCACGAAAAAAAAAAACATTGAATAGTAGCCTATAAGCATAATTCTCATCCCACAATCAAGAGTGTACAAATTAATCATAGAAGCATCATTTCAGCTACATTTATGTTGAAGAAATTCTGCTCTCTGCATCTGAAAACTATAAAAAATAAATGGACTAAAAAAAAAAATCACACATGAAATTTAAAAAATAGAGGCATTTTTCCATATTTGAACTTTTGAATTTGTAAATTAAGTGGATATGATAGTTCAATGTACATATCCATTCACATCTATATCAACTATAATGACAAGTTCTTTCAAGTGATGCTACAATATCAAAATGTAGCATTTCAGATCAAAGAGCTGAAATCCCTCGTTGGAATCCAATTTACTCGGGTATATTTTCAATTGGGGTGCCGTCTTTTGGTAACATTTTCTTTCATCTATGGTTAGAGATCAGTAAAGTTCTCTTTGGCCAATTATACAATTTCTTCTAGCATTTCTTGTTATGGGAGCTTTGTTCTGCAACAAGGATTTTCTTTGGAAATTCAAGTTGTTGTGGCTCATTGAATTTATTTTCCCATTTGTTGTATTTCTTAACATGTTTAGTTCTTATGTTATGAGCTTTTCTTTTACCCATTAGTTAATTTGTTTGGTTGGCTGTCTTTGAGCTTTTTGTACAATTTGCTGAAATTATTTAATATATTTTGGTTTGGCTTTATAAAAGATAAAATCAACAAAGATTCAATTAAATTCGTCAACGACCTTCATATTCTTGGATTTTAGTGTTTGCAAGCAACAACTGGTTGAAAAATAACGTATGATAAAGATAAAAATTAGAATTTTATATTGCCTTGTCTTTGTATCATAAAGATTGATAGAGCAACTGAAAATAGATTCAAACCTAGGCCTGGCAGACATGCTACTCTGAAAATCTGGGGTGAAATTCTTCAAAACAGTCTCAAACATGATTGGACTGAAAGGCCTCCCTCCCTCAATAGCTTCACGTCCATTCTTCAAATTTGAAGCGTTGGGCAGACAAAACTCTGAAATCAAATCTACAAACGCATGCAATGTTGGATAACCAGCCTGCAAAATAAGTATTTGCACATAAGTAACAAAAATTAAATAAGATGGCCTCAAAATCATTTCAGCTGAAAGAAATAGAGCATTTTAAAGCTCTCACTTTTGGAATACTCCTAGTTTTCAAATCCAACAAAAGCTGAACAAAGGGGGAACATGACAAAAGCGCCTGCAATGTTGAGTTCAGGAAGCATAAATTTCCCAAATTGATCAGCCCTCGAGGAAGTAGACCCCTAAATAGAGGCGCATGATTGCTTGACTCCTGTACATTCCCTGCATTTTTAACAACTGCAGCTTTGCTGAGAAAATCATTGCCGTTCTTTAACATTTCAAGCCCATTAGCTTGGACTGTTGGACAAGGTGGATTTCTGCTGCAAGCATCTTCCTCCAAGAATTTGGGAGAATTCATGCCTTTATGAATTCTTTCATCAACGACCTCCTCACCACATATGGGAACACAACCATTAGCAGTTGTATTGGGTTTTAATTCTACTGATTGCTTTGTGACTTGATCAGTAGCTGGTTCATCCTTGCCCTTCTTCTCGCTCAAAGTCGCAGTTGGAAAATCTTTTGCAACAGTAGATGCATTTTGTTTGAATACAGATTCAAAGCCTTTGACTGAACTAAGAGCATTGATATCCAGAGATCCAAATTGGAGCCCTAGCAATTCAAAAGGGGGCGCTATCATCTGCATTTCCTTGGAACAACCTTGTCTCATCTTTGGAAGACGATCAAACTATGAATACCTGCTAGTAAAACACGCCACGTTTATTGAAGGAAAAAGAATGCAATTCTGTTCCTAAAAAAATTAAGGCGCTGTTTGGTAGTTGGATTTGGCCGATATTTATGCATAATTTAACGTAAATCTAGTCAAATGTTCCAAATGGACGTGCCGAATTCTTTACATAATCTTAATTTTCGCTTTACCCCCGCTTCCGCATAAATCCCGGATTTACTAAATCCGAAATTTCGGCTAATTTAGATGATAGAAATCAGAAAACGAACGAAGGGGAGACGTATGAGGGTACCTATTCGATGACTTCGCCTGCAACCGCACGTCCCAACTTCCGTGCTTTCGTTTCCTAGAAATTTTCGAGTGGGAGTAGAAAGGTGAGAAAGATTAGCGTTACACCAACACTGAATATCTCACTCCTTTATGTGCCGCGACGCCATAGATGCCGAGCTCCCGTCGCAACCGCTCCATTCGGTGTTAACTTAGGGTTTTCGGGAGAGAGTGAAAGCGAGGGGAATAACTAATTAAATAAAATTAGATAAAAAATAAATCAAAATAATAATAATTTTTAGTTATTAAAATATTACAATTAAATAAATCAAATTAGCCTTTTAAATAAACAATAATAATAGAAAAATAATTTTTTAATATTAATGTTAATTTAATTTAATTTAGGTTATTTAAAATCATACATTTTTGAATTTTTATTTTTTTTAAAAAATTGTTATTAAATAATTTAAATTTAAAAGTCAAATTAGTTAATCTAGTTGATATCAATAATTAATAATAGTTTTTAATATTAATTTTTATTTAATTTAGTTACATGTAAGTTATTTATTATAATATCTTGTTTAATTAGCTCAATAAATTGTTGGGTGATAATTAATTGTAAAGTTATCTTATGTTAATTAATAAATAGTAAAACATTATTTGATTATTAATGTTCATAGTTAACTTCTAAAAAAATTTCAATTACTATAATAATTATTAACTAATTATTAATATAATTAAAATTTGATAAAACAATTTTAATATTTAGTTCATAATAATTTGTATAAGAATTTTATTGAAATAACATAATTAAATTTAAAATAAGTATCAAAATTGTTCATCAATATTTAATTAAATTTAATCTTTATCATACCAAATAATTTTTAGGATTTAATTAACATAAGATTTACTAAACACTATATTTAGCTAAACAATGTTTAAGGAAAATAAGAATCAAATATCCTAACTTCTCATCACAAATAGTTGTATAATTATTACAAACAACAAGATTTAGATGCCACATTTTAAAAATTATTAAAATTTATACCAACTATAATGTCCCATTTTAGATAGTGTTCATGTGGTATTGCTTCAAGTAATTAATGTGTTTATTTGTGAAATTGCCAAAACTAAGACAATGATGAATGAATTCATATGGATTTTCATATTTAGATGATGTAATGTGTGATTAGTATGTTTGCCTCCCTTTATTTATCAAAATTGAAGTGCTATTTCTATGTCTTCACCAAAACTGAAATGTAACTCTTCTAAAACATCAAAATTTATGTGTTTAACCCTTTGAAAAATAAAATTATGAACTCTAATATTCTAATCTCCTTTGGGTATTGAATTATCAGTGAAAGGCTTTTAGAGGAGCTGATTAGAGCACAATTTCTCTAAAACCGAGAGACACAAGTTTAAAGCACATCATAACTGCTAATCATTAATTTTTAATCTCAATATAGCTAAATTTCCAAAACAAAAAAAAGGAAAACAAACTTAATCGTTATTAATTGTTTTTAAGTCGTAAAAGTGAGAGAGTCAGAGAGTGAATGGGTTGGATCAAGAAGAATGCACAAAAAAAGAAAAGAAGTGTGAGCAAGCCATATCAAGTTTAATTGAGACGGTAAAATTGGAAGTTGAGCAAACAAAGAGATGCTTCTACATGCTCAACCTATTTTGATGATATGGTGTGTAAGTCTAGTTGGAAAATTGATACTTTAGAATTCTTATAAAATTTTAAAGTTCTTTAAAATGTTACATGTCTTTGAAGAGGGAAAAGGAAGGATAAAAACATTAAAAAATAATTTAGATAAACTTTAAAATTCTTATGAAATTTTATAATTTAAATTTAGGTTAGTTAAAATAATCAAAATTTTAAAATAATAAATCTAAAAATTTAATAAAATTAGATTAATATAGAAAATATTTTATAAATTTCATTAAATTAAGTTTTTTTTTTTGTGATTGCAAAAATTATAAGTACTATTTTTCTTTTCAAAATTTGATAAATCAAGTCAATTTGATTTAAATTTATCTAATTTATGCTTTATACTATAAATAATAATAAATGAATGGTTACAATGAGATTCATAAGAAAAATAAATTACTAATAAATTTTTTTCTATTAAATTGAAATACATATAATATTTATTTTGAATTTTTATAAGTTTTTTCCTTATAATCCTGTTTATAATAAAGTGGAAAATTAAAATGAGCTTTTCAAGTTCTAATGATGAGAGAGAGAGAGAGAGAGAGATGAGAGAGAGAGAGAGATAGAGAGAGCAAATAATGGAGCAAACAAGGAAGCAATCATGCATGCTCAGCCTATTTCAAAGGAAAAAATATTCTATACATACACTGCATGCAGAGATGCATGTGTTGTCCGATCCTGACCATAGATCACGGTGATCTATGATCATGATGTATTTCGGTGCGCCCCACTTTAATTTTTTTTTCCAAAAAAAATTTGATTGCATCCTGACCGCAGATTACCGTGATCTACGGTCAGGATCGGACACCGCATGCATCTCTGCATACGGTGTATGTATGCAATAATATTTCATTTCAAAGACATAAAGATTCAAAACCAAAAGGAAAGCACGATTAAACCGACCTATGCACCGTTCACACAAATGCATGTATCATTCCATTAATACAATTATTTTGAATCAAAGATTGTTCCCACAAGCATCTAGGCAAGCTCTACTTGATAAAATTATACTAATCCATAAACCATAACTTTATTCAATTAAAAGAAATTTTTATTTTTTTGAAAAATTTTTAATAGTAAAATTCAAATGTAATTAAGTCTCTCGATATGCAAACTATCAAATTAAATTTTATAAATCAAGCACTATAAGTCTATGGACTCTAAAATAAAAGAGCTGACTTCACTATGTTGCATTTCATTGCTAGAGTTTAGTAGATATATGTATTTTCTACCAAACTCTAGTTACTTCAATTTTTATGTTCATTTGGACTCAATCGATATGATAAAATCATATCATTTTAAATATAAGTATGGTCATTTTATATGTTAAATTAGTTTGGAAGAAAAATAAAGAATATTTGCAAGATTAAAGCACTACAATTAAAAATTTTGTGAAAATGTTATTTAATAATCCGCAAATCAAAAGATCAAACTTTTGGCCTATCCAGCTCTTACATAAAGCACAATATATTAATTTTCATTTCAAAGACACAAGTATTAAAGTACATTATAAAAATATAAGAAGAAAAATAGAAAAAAATGCACCAAGTTTTTTTGATTAAAATCATCTAACTACCCGAGTGAAGTCCTCCCGTGCCTAAGTGATTCTCCTAGCATTCCTTCCATTTCTTTGAGCTCTAAAACAGTCCTTCAAACCCAAGTGTCGCACGCTCTTGCACTTACTCTTCACAAAACAATACCAAGACTCCCCCTCCCACACACACTTATGCAAGTTTTAAGCCCTATAAGTATGCAAAACTTCTCTTCCCAATTTTAATTTTTTTTTGAAGTCAAATAACTATTTAGTCAGGTTGTCACGTTGGGTTGCTCTGAGCGCAGTGTTGTTGTGTTGAACTCTCCGTTTTTTTGTTTCCAGGTGCAATCCATAACCATGTTGCATGCACTTGGGGCTATTACTACTGTGCTTGGTAATGACATTAAAGTGCTCTGGCATTCGAGCCACAACACAAATTTTGACTTTTTTTCGATTGTGAAAATATGTCGGTTATGATATGAAAAACTGTCATTTCTAATGTTATTGACGATTTACCGATAATTTTAAGCTCATTGGTAAAACGCTTATCAGAAATTCTAAAGCGGATCGATATTCTGACGATATAAATTTATAGATGATTATCTGACAATTTAATGTTTTAGTTTTTTTCGATAAAATTTCAGTCGTCGGTAATCATCGGTTTGTATAACCGACGGTTCTTCCGTCGGTAATAGCGACGACATACATGTTGGAAAAATGTTGCACATATCGGTTTTTTTTTTTTTTTTAAGTTGGCAAAAACGCCAGTTATACATCATTTTTTATAGGGTGAACTGTGGGAAAAGTGTCACGCTAGTCGGTTTTTTGACACGGGTAAAAATCGTCGGTTAAGTGTCATTTACACAGCAATTTTTATAACAGACGAGTTAACTATCGAACAAGGATCGCGCATACTGTTTTTATGTGACACACTTTGAGTCGTCGGTTATATGTTGGTTAGACGTCGGTAAAAATATTCATCGGCTAGCAGTCAGTTTTGTCTACAAATAAGTTTGGAACCGTTGCAAAACCAACAGTAAGCCGTCGGAAATATGTAACATAAGGAAACAAAATTATTTCTTTCATATTTACATTACTAGACATACTATCACAATATTTAATATATTACTAGACATACTATCACAATATTTAATATACAATTTCGAACATTCAACGAAATAACATTGTTGTCAAATAATAACTTATCCAATCAAATAATGAAATAAATAAAATACATTTACTATAAAACAAGTACATCACTGTTTATATGTATATATATATATATATATGTGTGTGTGTGTTCAAATGTACACAAACATAAAAAAGCCCCTCTTAATCATCATCTTCAATCTCGTCAACCTCATCCTCAACGCCCTCCGTTGCCTTCTCCTCATTCAATGTTGATGCTGCCTTGCCACACTTTCTCATCCATTGCCGGAAGGAATCCACTCAGCATTCAACTTGGCCTCTGTGTTGGCCTCCGCTCTGACCTCATTTGAGAGAAGCGGGCCTCCATCTCAGCAAAGAACGCCACAACACGTCTGCAAATCTCATCATCCTGGGCGGTAGAAGTAGAAGCTGCAGATGCACAGGTGGAGAAGTGAGCGTCATAGGCGAACTCCTACGACCCGAGCCCATAGAATTGACTCTTCTTCTTCCTTCCAACAACCTCCTTCACATGCCATAATCAGAAGGATTACGCTCATAGATCGTAATACCTCCCGACATCTGGGGTCAGCTCTCCTTTAGCTGCTGAAATTTCTCCTGCAAACAAAAGTTGTTACGTTCAGTTAGAGCTGACTTGTATTATCATCAAATTAGTCTAGCATCCTGTTACATAGGATAGCAGTTACGAAAATATAAATACTATTATAAAAAAAAAGAAAATAGAATCTACATAAAAATAGTCTGCACGAATCTCAAGAGAATCTGACAGCCAAGAACATAGAAGAAATGTTACAAGGCATAACGAATCCAACCGCTTGAAGACCACCGATCAATTGATGGTTAGCCGTTAGAATGGTTAACAACCGACTGAAGGACTGTCGATTGAATGAAAGCCGACCTGACAACCAAAGGAACACCGAGGCAACCAAGAGAAAAGCATCCACGTCAACAATTGAACAAATGTCCAACCCCCTAAGTTCACTAGTGCCACCGTGAGGCTCTCTCAACAACTCCGCATAAAGGGCTCCAAAATCACTAAGGAACAACAATGGATAGAGTCGACTAGCCGCCCTAAGGCTGACCGACTGTTGTACTCAAAACCAACTGGCTTCCTAGAGCAAATTAAAGCTGACCGTTGTCCAGACAAAATAGCTGACTGACACTAGTTCAGTCGATCAACCCAAGGATCTGTCGATCAGAAGAACCAGACACAAGTAAGGGTGTAAAAAAGAGTTATAAATATGAAACGACATCACAAAAGACTACAATATCATTTAATACCCTCATTAAAGCAGGGGCAAGCATGTAATTCTATATCTTTGGCCGTTTATCTCCTATGAATACGATGACCATAGTATGTATTAGGGACTTTTGCCTCCCTAGGTTTTTTTTGTTCTTCTATCCTGACCCATATGTTGTAAGGAAAAATCTCTCTCATTATCTCTTCTCACCTATATTTTCCAAATATTAGATGGGTCACAGAGCCTAGAAATACCCTTACGCGGCAAGTCTATGTGTGCTCTTTCCTTCTTTCTCCCCTTCTGTCCCCTTTCTCGCTCTCCCTCATGGTTTCTGTGGGTCAAATTCTTGGGTATGCCTCACTGAATAAATTTAGATTAAACATATATAGAAACAGACAAAAAAAAATCTTAATAAATATAAAATAAATACCAAAAAAACAAAAGCCTGAAAAATTCTTACACTATTATGCAAAACAGGAGGAAGTGTAGGGAGTAATAACAACATGGATCTTATCCTTAATTTTGAATTTTCTGCGAAACTAAAATTTCATTCTTTGTTATTATTTAATCATTAACAGCTCTAAAAATTGTAATTATATTTATATTTTTTATTCTTAAGTTGCGTCCAAGACAACAGAATTGAAATTTCAGAGTTTGTCGCATCTCATAAATGCTAATTACCCGTCCAATTCCTCTAAAATTTCACTATAAAAATTTAGTTGAAAATTTTGAATTTGCCCTTCACCCCTACTATATATTGAGGATTTCATCAAAAAATCACATTCGATCATTTATCTCTTGAGAGCTAGCAATGGCCGCAAACAATAGTTTCATCTCTACCGTAGCCACAGGATTGCTTCTTAGCTTCCTCATTGCAGGTTTCAATTTTTCTCTTTTATCATAACATCTAATGTTACATATATATAATTTATTTATCATCATTTATTATTATAATTTTCATAAATTTTGATTTTCATATCTTATGGCGTTAATATTTACTAAATGGTCGACAGATGTGAAATCCATTGGTGTGTGCTACGGAAGAGTGGGGAACAATCTCCCTCCACCTAATGAAGTCATCGACCTTTACAAATCAAATAATATAGGAGAGATTCGACTCTACGATTACAATCCAGATGTTTTCTAAGCCTTCAGAGGCACAAATATCGTCGTCACCGTCGACATCCCCGATCCCTCAGCTTTCTCGTCTGATCCCTCTGCTGCTTATTCATGGGTTCAGAATTACATCCAAGCCTTCCCAGATGTTAACTTCCGTTACATAGCCGTTGGTAACGAGCTCATCCCAGGCCCTCTTGCACAGAACATTCTCCCTGCAATGCATAATCTGCATAACGCTTTGCAGTCCGCCGGACTTCATGATCGGATTAAAGTCTCAACGTCAATTTCCACCGATGTCTTCGGAAACTCCTATCCTCCCTCTGCTGGTGTATTTTCCTCAGACGCGCTCGCCACTCTCCAACCAATCATCAGTTTCCTCGCTGCAAATGGCGCCCCACTCCTCGTCAATGTATACCCATACTTTAGCCACATTGGCGACCCAAATCATATCTCCCTGGACTATGCGCTCTTTAATTCACCCAATACGGTTGTCTATGACGGGCAACAGCAATATTGGAATCTGTTTGATGCAATAGTCGATGCTCTCTACTCCGCGCTTGAGAAGGTGGGTGGTGGCGATGTCACCATTGTGGTGTCGGAGAGTGGCTGGCCATCGGACGGTGGGGATGCGGCCACGCAACAGAATGCACAGACCTATATCTCCAAACTTATACAACATGTTGGGCAGGGAACACCCAAGAGGCCTGGGAATTACATTGAGACATATTTATTTGCCATGTTTGATGAGAACCTCAAACAACCACAAGGGACTGAGAATCATTATGGCCTCTTCAATCCTGGCAAAGAATCCAAATATTCTCTCAGCTTTTAATTACTATATTTGGGGCACAGTGATGAATCAATCCTTAAGCCGGCATATATATGACTTACGAGTATCTATATTTTTATTAATAGTAAATAAGAGAAGATTGGCTTATAAAATATTCTATTTCTTTTTAAATGTAGTTTTTTTTTTTAATTTTTCTCTGTCAACATGAATTCTAGTTTTATTTTACTTATTGTAATGGTTTATAAGTTGCAATAAAAAAGGTTTTAATCCATATTTGTAATGCAGATTTATGGCTTGATAAAAGTGGTCATGGACAACTACTTAGACCAACATATATATTAGTAAGCTGCATATGAGATCTTCCGAGTTCTTTCTTATGTAGCCAAATCTTTGCCAGAAAATTCCCATCTCAGCGAAATTGAAAAGTTAGCTTGGATTATAAATTTTGGATGATCACGACATTGAAGATTCATTCTTTGTTTGACTTTTTTTTAATAATCTATCAACTATCTTTATTGAATTTATATTAAGATTCATTCTTTATTTGATATTTTTTTTAATAATCTATAAATTATTATTATTATTTTTTAACATGTAGCTTTTTTATTATGTTTTTTTCAAGCCATTCGGATACTAAACTATAACTAGAGCTTTTCATTATTATTAATTTTCTCTTAAAGTCATTGAGAGATATATGAGAAGAAAGAGGGGTAAAGCCGATAAACCAAAAAGTGAAACAAAAGAAAAATTAGAAAAAGAAAACAAAAGTTCTTTCTCTAGAGAAATGAAAGAAGGCCACTTGAACCCTAGCAAAGTCTTCTATGGACTCTAATGGATTGAACTAGTTACTCCAGCTCGTTATTTCAAACCTTCCTCACATACAAGTAAGAATGATACACCTTCTCTACCTTGTTACCATAAGAACATACAAAGTTTTGTCCCTTTTTTTTATCATAATTATTATAAATATTCAAATAGTGCACATCCACACACAACCATATAAAGGAATGATATTTTAAC